CTGAAATAGAAAACACCGAACAAAAAAAGTGTGCGTATGTCAGTAAGTTGTCAATCCGTCAGTCAAACGTCACCTTAGATTTTCATGTTTTTATTCGTAACGCATTACATTGCATCATATTTTATAAAAATATAAAATAATTCTTAGGTAAATAGATATCCAAAATGGGAAACGCAAGTGCAAAGGCCGCGGATGTGAAAACTGTTGCACCACCAACAGAAGAGAAGCCCAAATTGAAACCATGCTGCGCTTGTCCCGAGACGAAAAAAGTGCGCGATGCCTGGTAAGTAATGTGTATATTTTTCCTGATTTCATTACGTAATCTTTATATTTTCATTAACATTTCCTTACAAAATTATTACTAGCCAGAAATCGTTCGTATTAATATTAAAAATACCTGTCAATTCTTTACGTAACATAAAATAAATTGAAAAAGCCGCCGGTCCTGACTAACCATTGAAAAATGTGTATAGTCTAAAATAACCTTGAAATGTATGAAAATTATTCAGCTATTATCACTCCTAACCGTCATAAATGCTTTAGTTTGTTTTGTGTGTCACAATTCTTTATTAGACGCTAAATCGTTTGGTATATATAAAAATAAATATAATAAAATTCTTAATGGAATAATAAATACAATGTAAATATAACTAATAAACCTGACTTTGACATTCTCAAAGCCATTTATTGATAACGAATCTCAAAACACCTGCAATATTATTAACAATAACCCTAAACTAAAATCACTACCATTGTTTGATTTTCCTTAATTCCCATTAATGATTAAATTTAGACATGTGCATACATATAGTTTCATACTATATGATTATCGCCATGCTGCTGAATGATTTTTCAGATAATGTAATGTATTGTATAATGTATATATGTTATACTTTATTAAAACTATCTTGATGCATAAAATAAGATTTTTTAACCCATATACTTCAGACAGAGCCACCTACGGCCAAAATAAGCATTTTGTTATGGGTACTAGACAACTAAATTGTATATTGTGTTTTTGTAAGTATGTAGAATATACATACATTTATATTAATGAGTATGATTGTTCATGTCAGTCTGGGTGTTTTCTTTGTATATTATGTATGTGTTTACAAAAAATATATATATCTAAGTATTTATATCAGTTGTCTAATACCCATAACACAAGTTCTGCTTAGCGTGGAACAGATGGCACTGTGTTAATTGTTCAGTGTTATTTATTTATTTTTTATATGCATAGAAAACACCCAGACTGATACAAACAATCATAAGTACAAATGTTTGTAATGTGAGAGGAATCAAATTCACAACCATTACTAGTAAAGCGGTGTGCTAAACCACTACACCACTGACGCTATACCTAATACAAACAATCATACTCATGAATATGAAATTACTTACATGTGGAGAATGAAACCATAGTGGGTTTGAATTATAAACCACAGCATTTACTGACCACCTACTTATTTATTCTTTCCTAAGGACCCGTTTAAGTATTGCTAAAAAAAACAATACATTAATTAAACAATGTTTACATAAGCATGGGGGGAGGGGGTAAGAGCTTTGCTTACTTTTGCTGACAAGGGGGATGGGGAGCAAATAATTGTTATAAATCTGTTTACATAATACTTAAAGGGCCCCAAATTTTATTTGAATTATAGTTTTGAAGTTAACATTTCTCTGTTTCAGTATCATAGAGAGAGGTGAAGAGAACTGTGGACCACTTATTGAAGAACACAAAGCCTGCATGAGAAAGTTGGGATTCAACATTTAAACCAATATTAGAACCTTACTAATTTTATATAGACCTAGTCAAACTTATGTACCAAGGATGTTGATTAATAAATATCAAAATTACTATTTTTAAACTGGATACTTAAAACATTGTAAACTAAATTGCTATATAATTACAGCAATATAAATAAGGTAAAATTTTGTCTATAGTGAACATCATTCTTCTTTTAATTTGAATGGGTTCCACCAAATGAAGCCAGAGACTGTGCCGATGTCGAGATTATGAAAACACAGTAGTGTGGTTTATGGTTATACACATCATTAATATAGTTAAAATTATTTTAATTATTAATTTGATGGTAAATAAAGGTATTTACCTCTCTCAATGTTTCAATGGGCTCCATGTATGTACTTAAGTCTGGTTGTTACCATGGGACGTACAACCTGTTCAAAACATTGAGAAATATAAATTATCTTTATTCATATAAACTAAGCACTTTTAAATAATAATATAATTTTTTTTATGTTAACGCTCATTCAGAATGCAGACTCATCACAAGAAGAATGAGCAAGAAACTAGTGTGTTGCTCTGCTAAATAAATGTTGTTCAGCATTACATATTTAAGATCTTATGTGTATACAAACAACCAAATGGCAAGATTGACAAAACTAAATAAATAAAATAGCTACTTGACTAATAAAGCAAATCATATCATTTCCACCAGACCAGTCAGAGAGAGGTAAATAACTATACTTGCCATAAAATTAGTTTTGTTAAGATTCCATTAACTATATCAAGAATGTAAACTTACTATTGTTACCAAAGTGTCTTTACTAATTACATTAATCTGAGTGTAATGAGAATCAAGGTCGATTTTCAGTTAATAAATATTGGAATGTACCATTTCTCTTGTGCCCTTTTTCATACTTTTAAATTATACATTAGCAATGTTTGAAGTTTATATTTCCTGGTAATTGAATGATCTAACTGACATACAGTATTTATTTAGTTTACTCTAATTTTTTTTAGAAAATAACACTAAAATGTTATGTATCAAATTGACATCCATTATGAAGTGTAGAATTTAGTGTATACTCAATTACCACTATTTAAAACTTTAAATACATATCCTGGATCAGGGATGTAGGAATTTCGGATACGGATAAGTTTCGGATATAGGAATTATTATTATACCGGATACGGATATGAAATTATTTCGGATTATCCGTTAGTTTCGGATAATTTCGGTTACGAATATGTTTTTAAGGAATTTCAATAGTAAAATACAAACAGCTAATAAAATGGTTACATAACATGGCTCAATTAGGTTCCGCCCCTATCCTATATTGTCAGAAACTTATTTCGGATTCGGTTACGGTTACGGTTATTTTTTTATATCGGATATCCGATAGTTTCGGTTACGGTTACGGATCTCCTTAACATCCCTGTCCTGGATATAGGATCTACCTGTCTAATCCAATATGAATGCCATTTCTTTCATGATGTCATAATTTGAATGAGTGTAACAAAACGTGAAATTGTACATTTTAGTTTTTATAAATGTAGGGCTGCATTTAAAACTTACATAACTTACATAACAGTCTTTCAAATGAATGTTATACAATAATGGCACAGTAAAATAGGCCACAACATTTCACATTTTTGTATTAAGACAGAATAATGAAGTAAACATCCTGATATTATTAAATAGCATTTTGTAATTTTTCAGTGTTATGCTAAAATCACGGGTAATTTATGCGGCTGGACTCAGTATGATGTTATTTAATTTATATCTTAATGCTTATATCTTAAATGAGAGGTATTTTCTATCCTTCAGCAGTAACTAGCTACCAGAAGCCTACTCGTTAATTTGATCCATCCCTTTATTTTTTATTTTCAACTTGTGAATTTCAAGATTTTCATTTCTACTTTAAAAATATTTAAGTTGTTTATAGAGTGAAGACACTTTGTATTATTTATTATTTAGTTTGTAAATAAATGTTAATATTAAATTAATTTAAGTTGTTTTAAATTGACATTCGTCATTGAACCTATTCCCCTAAAAGCTAATGACGCATTCTCCATTGTCCAATATCCTTTGTACACCATTACATTTTTCTTCATTGATCATAATGAAATAAGCAGATTGCGCAGCAGTAGAGGATGATAACATAGCAGGTGGACATCCACGTGCCCATCCCTGGAAAGCATCTTTTTTTTATAATAATATTGAAATATTGAGGATATTAAGTGGAGCCTCATGCTCATCAGCACCAGTGAAGGATGTCATAATGAGCTCATGCTGAAATGCTGAACTGACCTCACCTCATTGTCAGGTCAGTTGACCCATCGTGGGATATTCACTAGGAATTTATAACGATTGTTTTCAGGGGGAATCGCGTGAAGTTCAACCTAATATGGTACAGTGCTTTTTTTTTTTGATGATAAAGGAATGGTGCACCCACCTGCGCTAACGGTTTACGCTGGCGGGGCACCACTGGAAGATGAGCATGAGGCCAGGTCAGTTAGCCCATCGTGACAAGCTCACCAGGAATTTGTTACGATGGTTTCCAGGGGGAACCACGTGGAGGTCGACCTGACATTGTACATTGCTAGCAATGGGGTTATCAATCCACACTACTAACAATCCCCTTTCCCCCCTGGTACAGTGCTAGTAATGGGATCATTAGTCCACATTACTAAAAATTCCCCAGCCCCAAGCATCATAGTTAATACTTAAGTTCACCATGATGGGCTAACTTTTTTAAACAGAAGACTGACTAAAGAAGAATTTTTAATAGTAAATTAAATAATTTGCGGATACTATATTTTTTTATGGATGATAATGAAATGGTGCATACCCTCAACGGGTTACGCTGGCGGGGCACCAGTGGAGGATGATAAGACGAGCATAAGGTCAGGTCAGTTAGCCCATCGTGACAAATTCACCAAGAATTGATCACGATGATTTCCAGGGGGAACCGCGTGATCAATCTGACATGGTACATTGCTAGCAATAAGATCAGTTCACATTACTAACAATTCCCTTTCCATCTATATATATTATATTATTGCATGAAAAATACTGCGTTCATATTGAAAGAAAACTGTAATGTAACTTTATTCTCCTGGCTCCGCATAATATAATTATGAGAAAGAATAGTACCGAGTGACTACCCACATGTACTGATGCTGTTATCTCAAAGCTTTATAAATCTTTAAAAACATTTTACAATCGAATTACACTATCAATCATATTGTGAAAAGCGGACGTTGTGTACGCGTGTGTCATGTGATAACAAGTTTATAAATTCATGAATACGTAACAATGGTTTCGAAGAAAAAAACACCAGTCAATTGTGAAGACGATCTCTCCGCTCCGAGCTCTGTGCAATCACTTGATAATAGTTATGAGTGAGTTACTATTTTTTAACATTTTTATAGCCTAGAGGAAATACAAGCTTGTGATTCACCTGATGGTAAGTGATTACCGCTGCCTATGAGCACCCGCAACACCAGGGGAAATGCAAGTACGTTACCGGCGTTTTTAGAAGGAATAAGCTCTTGAAGGTTTTGATATCGTATCGAAAATACGATATTAAAACATTCAGAAATACCACTCTAATTCATCTTTCATTTTCAATCAACATGAATAAAGAGGTAAATAATTTTGTTTGATCTTAGAATAAAATATCTATTGTCTAGCTGTTATAATGAGATTATATGTGATTATAGTAGTAAAAATAAACCTTTAGGATTAAATAGTATAATTATACTCAATGCGTTATGGCATAGTGCTTGTGACAGGAATGTAAGTTACTAAAATATGCATTTACGAAGATTTTTATATACAACATATTATTTGTAGGCAATAGTGAAAGTTATGATATTAAATATTATTATTATTACTTCATTTATTTCGGATATGTATCCATATTATGTTAGCAAACAACTTATAAACCATGTTAGTAAATTACAATTTTATACATTTAATTCATATATTTATATTTATGTCTGTTGCGGGTGAATGATACGATGTTGCTGGTCGAGACGATGTATATTACAGATGATGATAAACTGACAATGTGTACATAGAAATAATGATCTTATATACTAAATAACAATAGGAAAATGTAAGGTGGGGTGACACAGTTTAGATACAGCAGTGCCTAGTAGACAATATTGAATTTGTCTTACTAGACATTATTAAATGCAATTATTATTTTATGTATCTAGGTGACTGTGTCCCATAGATATTCCCCCCTTGAGAGAAAAAAAAATATATATTACACACAAAAAAATTATAAAAGTTAATTATGAACAATATAAATTAATAATTTTTTTTTTTTTACAAATTAAATCTCACTGTAGGATAAGATGTGCGTCCATAACGTGTCACTTTCAAAGGTCGGCTGTCAGCTGTTGACGAGCGGTGTCCTGTTTCTGCCTCGCCAGCAATTGCTTCGTTGTTTATTATGAATGCTGGCTTGAGTCTATCTATTGACACATTTGTTTCTTTTTCGTCACGCTTGATTGTGAATACTTTTCCTTTGCGTTTGACAACCAAAAATGGTCCTTCGTATGGTGGTGTCAACGTTGGACGTAATCTGTCACATCTCAGGAAGACGTGTGAGCAATCCATTAAACGAGGATGTACAAAAATGTTTTTATTTGTACTCTCTCTCTGTGGGATGGCTGCAACTCGGCTAATATTATTTTTAATATCTTTTATGAAGTCAGCATACGTGATTTTCGGCTCATCATAGAAAAAATTTGCCGGTAACTTGATAGTAGTGCCATATACCAGTTCGGCGGCGCAGCAACCAGTATCTTGTCGATAACTTGAGCGTAGTCCGAATAGAACTGATGGCAATTCTTTTGTCCAATTTATTGTGTTGGCTCTGGCTACTAATGCTGTTTTCATTGTTCTGTGTAATCTTTCCACTTTTGCATTAGATTGTGGATGGTACGGTGTAGTACGGATTTTCTCAATTCCCATCAACTTGGCGAGTCCTCTGAAAACGTCGGACTCGAATTGTCGTCCTTGGTCAGAGGTGATGTAGTCTGGACATCCAAAGCGGCAAATCCATCCCTCGTAGACAACTCTTGCAACAGTTTCTGCAGTTATCTCTGCAACTGGAAAGGCTTCAGGCCATGAAGTGCATCTGTCGATTATAGTGATAATATATCGTTTATTTTGCGAAGTAGGTAATGGTCCTACGATGTCAATGTTTACATGTGAAAAACGCGTAGCAGGCAAATATTTACCAAGCGGTGAATTTGTATGTCTATGCACTTTCGATTTCTGACATTGTAAACATGATTCACACCATTTATTTATATCTGTATTCATGTTTGTCCATATATAATTATTGCCAATTAATTTTCTTGTAGTTTTTTTACCAGGATGACTAAGATTGTGGTAACTTTCGAAAATAGTTTTTCTGAAATCTGGCGGCAAGTAAGGACGTACTATTTCAGTGGAAATGTCACAATATATTTTTTTATTTGTATTTGGTACTTGAATTAATGACATACGTAATGATTTATTCTTTTTGAGTTGTTGTAACTCAATGTCATTCTGTTGACTTTTTTCTAAGTCGGATAAGTCGATAACGGCTGGAAGTGATATTGTTTCGATGACTCGTGATAATGCATCGGCAACCGTGTTATCGTGTCCGCTTACATGCTGTATATCTGTACTGAATTGTGATATGAAATCCAAGTATCTGATCCTTCTAGGTGACTCGTCCACCGAAGGTTTCTTCGCAAAAGCATGAGTTAGTGGTTTATGGTCGGTGTATATTGTGAAAACACGACCTTCAATTAATCGTCTGAAGTGTTTTATTGCCATATATATTCCCAATAACTCCCTATCGTAGGTGGAGTATCTCGTTTGAGCTTCTGTTAACGATTTGGAGAAAAATGAAATTGGCTTCCATTCGTTTTTAATTTTTTGGTGAAGAACTGCGCCAACACATTTTAAGCTAGCGTCAGTCATCAATGCGATCGTTGCGTTCGACTCTGGAAACGTCATAGTTGTGACGTCACGCATGTCTTGTTTACATTGTAGGAATGCTTGTTCTGCTTCCGTATTCCATACGATAATTGTTTTATCGTTTTTCTTTCTATTTCTTAAAAATACATTGAGCGGAGCTTGATGCTTGGCAGCGTGTGGAATTAGGTGCCTATAAAAATTCACCATACCCAAATAACGACGTAAATCTTTGACTGTCGTGGGTTTAGGGTAATCGTCGATTGCTTTTAGTTTTTCTTGTGTCGGTTTCATCCCTTGGCTCGATATATGATAACCAAGAAAATCTAACTCATTTTTGAAAAACTCGCATTTGCTCATATTTATTGTAATTCCATTTTCATTTAAACGAGTAAAAATAATTTCTAAATGTTCGTAATGTTCCTTCTCGCTCTCGCTGGCTATCAGAATGTCATCGACAAATATAAAAATAAAGTCATAGCGAATCCATAAATCTTTGGAACGTCTGACCCGCGTTTCTTAAACCGAATGGCATTCTTGTAAATTCGAAAAGTCCAAACGGAGTTATAATAGCGGTTTTCTCTGGCTCTGCAGTGGGAATGGAATGATAAGCCTTCCGGACGTCGATTTTGCTGAAGATGGATTTTCCACTAGCAATATACGAGAAATCCAATAACCTTGGAAGTGGATATCGGTCCGGTACGGTAATATTATTCAATGCGCGGTAATCACCGCATGGTCTCCATTCACCATTTTTCTTTTTTACCATGTGCAGTGGACTAGCCCATGGACTGCTTGATGGTCTGCATATGCCAATTTCTATCATGTCCTGAAATTCCTTTTTGGCAGCCTTATATTTATCTGGAGGAAGAGGACGAGCTCGAGCGCATACGGGAAATCCTTTTGTTATGATGTGATGTTTGATCTTATGCTGTACGGGAATATTCATTGATGTAGGCCTTGTGATTTTTTCATATTTTTCCAAAAGTTGCCTTATAGAGTTAGGCAGTTCGGAGTCAATGGAGCGAACAGAGGGAATGTTTGCTTTGATGAAACTTACAGGCGTTTTGAGCTCTGTAACTTTATCTATTAATCTCTTCCCGTGTATATCTACCAATAAGCGGTAGTGCTCTAGAAAATCAGCGCCTAATATAGGCATTTTGACGTCAGCAATGATGAAATTCCATTTGAAGGAACGTCGTAAACCCAAATTTAAGGTTAGTGTTTTTTCCCCGTATGTCTTTATCACGGTTCCGTTTGCGGCGAATAATTTTAATTCGCTAGCGCTCTCATTGGTCTGTGCTTGCTTTTTGATCACCGAGATATTTGCTCCGGTATCCACCAAAAATCTATAACCACTGTTAGAGTCGGTTATAGCTAGGCGGTTAAACGGGTGAACAGCACAGAGTTCCGCCTTGTTCTGTGCTGAGCCTAGTTTTCCGACGGCTGTCTTTTATGGTTCAGGAGCACGGCAGGTCACATTTATATGCCTTTTCTTTAAATCTACGATGATAATAGCAATAATTATTACTCTGTCTATGCGCTGACCGACGGCGTGAATTTGATCTAGATCGGAAATTGCTGCGTCGGTTTATGTGTCGCGAGCGATTTTCGCGTAGTGCAGCAACTTCTAATTGCAGCGTCGCGAGTTGTGAAGACAGGTGTGTGACCGTATTTACGTCAGCGGTGCCTGTTGATTGCATTGTTGTATTAAATCGCATATTTTCATGTATGCGATCGGCCATTTCGCTTAATTTGTCCAGCGTCAATTGCTCAGTAACCGCTAAAACGGTTGTGACTGATGGAGGAAGCTGCCTCATCCATAATAGTCGGATGGTATCCTCATTAATTTTCCCGCAACCAGCTTCTCTCATTTTGTTGCGGGTAAATAATAAGATGTTGCTGGTCGAGACGATGTATATTACATATGATGATAAACTGACAATGTGTACATAGAAATAATGATCTTATATACTAAATAACAATAGGAAAATGTAAGGTGGGGTGACACAGTTTAGATACAGCAGTGCCTAGTAGACAATATTGAATTTGTCTTACTAGACATTATTAAATGCAATTATTATTTTATGTATCTAGGTGACTGTGTCCCATAATGTCTATGTCCACGTCCAGAAGCCCTGGGTCCGCAGCAATGCAGCGATATCCAGTGCCTCTGAAGTGGACAATCATACATATTGGATATGGTGTTTAGGAGGTTGTTTGCGCTCCCCCGAATTCTACACATCAGTGATGCAGTTCTGTTTCGCATTATGGCTTCAAAACCATCTATCCACGCTGCTGCAAACATCTCTGATGCGCTACAGAATCGAGGGAGCCCAAACAACATCCTAAACCCATTATTATATTGTACGCGAAGAGTTTTATATGTATAAATATACATTCAAACAATAACTCTCTTAGAATATCTAAGACCATTCTAAATACATTCAAATGTTGAATGTCAGCTCTCACCTGCACCATACCACGAAATACAGAGTATACTAGTGTAACATGCTGTTAATTAATTTTCATAAAATGTAATTATGGATCTACTGTAAGCATAGTCGCATTGTAAGATATGTTACGATTTCCAAACGTGAGACAAAAGCTGACAACTGAGAGGAGTGTGTCCACGCTGTCATAAGGATCTGAAAATTATTCAGTGATCGTTCTTTTCTGTATTTAGAGATCTAGAGATATCATCCTTGCGTCGTGCACCCAAGGATGATAGCATTACTCTCAATCCAAATTTTGCCGTTCCGTTTAAATATTTATCTACGCTTAGGTACTCTTTTATTACAGTAATTGTAAAGGTTATTTTTTGCACATTTTTAAAATTCCTATACTGCCTTGGATTTTCATAAGAGTGAGCGAAATATTGGTTTTATTTGTGAAATACATTTTATCAGTTACATGTGATGCTAAAACAAACTTCTTCAAATCTGACTAGTGTACGTTGATATTAGTCGCCTTCTCTTATGGACAAAATTGTATCGAGTATAATTAGTTATTGTAGAAATTTGTCATTGTAGCACATTTTGTATGGTAAGGGGTCAGGGATATGCAATCTTAATCCTCAGGAAAGGTAACATATGCTTACCACGAGAATACTACGCATCCGCCAGACAGGAGTTAACCATCAGTGCCTCTCCGATCGATCCCGCGTCCAATTCAAACGGGGATCGAAATTACGACGGCCTGAGCCGAGGTCCGAAGCCCCAGCGGTACTCTCAGACTAAATTCGTATCTGTCAGGCGGAAGTTGACCTTCAGCCGCTCCATAAGTCCATCCGCGGGTTTGAAGTGCCACCTGCACTCGCCGCCTATCGTCCGGTGAAGCTGTAAAGGCCAGCTGCGGTCAACAGTATTAGAGTAGTCCGAAAAAAACCGCTTCATAAGTGCTTCCATGGATTTGGAGTGCTATTTGCACTCGCCGCCCTCGTTGGGTGAAGCTGTAAAGGCTAGCTGCAGCAGCATTAGAATAGTATAAAAAAATTAAGACGACAATGTATCTATTCTGTAAATTCGTAATGTTGCTCATGAATATAGCCGTTGATTACTCGTCCAAGTGGGCTATCAACTTTTTCATTGTTCTTAAGCTATTTGCACAAAAAGTAACTGTCTAATTCTAACTTAAGTTTGGGCTACCTACATTTGCGTTTATATTAACGAATCAGTTGTAAATAAATATGTTCAAACAAATAAGTCAACATAAAAGGGTTACATTGGGATGATGAAATACTGATAACGGTTTCATCAGCCACTAACTTCTCAACTGATCTACATTGACATAGGAAGTGGTGCATCAAATCATTGTACATTCTAAACGCGTGAGTGTGGTTCATAATTCTAAAACTGATTTTATTTTTAATTACCAAAACTCTGTGTTAATTGTTGTTGTTTTAAATAATATAATCGTCTATAGGCGAAGAGCATGGCTCATACTGCCTAATCATTAATTTTATCAAACTTAAATCTGTGTTGTTTAAGTAAATTTCTCATTTGTGTCATTATTTTCTTCTAAAGAAGGTAGATCAAAAAAAATATTACTATGCACTAAACGTACATTGCGCATCTACGCTTCTTATGGTTTGTAAGTATTTCTAAATTACCCTTGAATATCTTTACATAGTATAAAACACTGGATTTTAATGCAGTTTTCAACAATATATAGAGTGATTCAAGAGAAAGGTTTATATATATATAATATATATTTAGTGTTAAAGTATAGAACAAGCCGAGAAATTCCAAGATTTGTAATGCATCCGTGCGAAGCCGGGACGGGTTGTTAGTGAGATATAAATAACAACATTAGGGATTAGTGATAACATACCTTCGCAACTATAATTCAAAAAGAACCAATCAGAGCTATTGTAGCATTGTCGACCGTAACACTTTACGTGTCTAGTTTCGTTGACTACCTACGTACATTTTCAAAACGACACAGAATTGGTTCCCAAAATTAAGCAAAATACATTTAAATTTATTTATATCAAAAATAAATTAACTAAAGCGGCAGACTAAATATACAGCATTAAAATTTTATCGTACTATTGAGTCTTATCTTACTAATATTATGAACGCGAAAGTTTGTGAGTATTAATTGATAATTGGATGTTTGTTACTCTTTCACGCAATTACTACTCAACAAATTTTTATGAAACTTTAAAATAACATAGCTTATATATCAGAATAACATACAGGCTGTGAACAATTTCACGCTGGTGTAACTACGAGCACAGCTAGTTAATTACTCATAGCATAATGCGATGTTGTTAATTAAATACTAAATGTCATTTTAAATAATCAACACCTACCCTCAGTTGAACATTATTTACGACAAGAAAATACACTGATAGTAAATTTCACTGACTTCGTTGACCCCTAAAAGGGTATGAAACTCTGATTGTTGCACCAAGGTTTTAAGTATATTGTTTTTGATATACACAAGATCATTATTGTCTCAATTGTTTATCTCAAAGTTAAACTGACAAGGTTCTCGCATTTAATTAGTGATAATGATTTAAAATAATTGTTTACGAGCGTTAAAATGTATTTTCTTCTGTCATCGATATCAATAAATTCAGTGACAGTCATTTAAAAACAACATAGCATGTATGCTCTAATAACTATGACTATTTTGTTACTCAAGTAAGTTATTTTTTATGTCAACCTTGCTATTTGGTAGTTAGTACTGATTTATATTTTTTTTTATTGGGTTGTTTGGGCTATTACCAAATGCTTGTAGCACCTGTAGCACTGCGACCTACATAGATCTATTGTGCTCGTCCTTTTTCAAAGTTCGCTACCTAGACCCGTCAGGGACAAGAATTGAAGGATATTCTTAGGAGCGATGGTTTTTATCTCCTCGGGAAAGAGTGTAAACTTTCCAAAGGAGATATTTCATTTATGCATGAGTGGGCTACAACCACATAGGATGTGAAGCGGCGTTTCCTCTTCAGTTTGGCAGAATCTGCAGATACTTGTCGTGCATAGGCCTAGTTTAGCCATATGCTTGCTTAATTTGCAGTGTCCTGTGAGGGCCCTAGTCATCATGCATATGTTGTTTTTACTCAATAGCAGTAGTCTATTGGAGTATTTGTTCGAGAAGCCCGATATTGGCTGATGATGAGTCATCATCAATTTATATTGTTACTCAAGTAAATATTTGTTTGTATCAACTTTGCTATTTGGCAGTTTGTATTCACATATTTTTCTTTTAAATATTGAGAGTTTATTGCGGAGTAGGTACATGCCCCCTCGCATCGGTGTAACATTACATCATATTTAATCATGTGGTACATTACTTTTTTTAAGGCCAACTTTGACAATATTTTTTTTTTATACTACGATGGGGGCAATCCAGCATACGGCCCATCTGATGGTAAATGGTTACTGTAGCCTATGAACGCCTGAAACACTAGGGGTAACATATGCGTGCCGATCCTTAAGAAACCTTAATATACTCTTCTTGAAAAACCCAATGCTGTAGTCTCGTGGGAAAACCTCGGCAGGAAGTTCATTCCACAATCTAAGTGTACGCGGGAGGAAGTTCCTCTGAAACCGCACTGTTATTAATTTTGATGGCCTCTTCAGTTAAAGGGTTGTTTAGAATACTATTACTGAGGTCGATGTCGTTTTTATAGAAGGTATCAATTCTCGTCTTGTGATCTCGTTCCGTGCATATTCTATAATATAATTTCATTCATCCATCTTCAATTTTTCCACATATCGTACAATTTGGAGTTACTGATTCTCTCATTAAAACTGCAAAACTATTTAAACGAAAATGCCCAGAACGATGTTTAGCACCATAACAATATCCCGTCTACTCATATTAGAATGTTCATACCAGGGTATGCGAAGGAGATTGGGCTGGATTGTTTTGCATAAAATTCTTAAAAATGTAATTCTGAACAATATTTATTTATAAGCAACACGCAAATTTCTTGGTCATTCTTCTTGTGATGAGGCTGCGTTCAGAATGAGTGGTAGAATAAAAAAATATAACTATTCAAAAGTGTTGAAGTTAATATTAATTTTATTTAACTAAAGATTGTTTCTATTTGTGTTTATACTGTACTAACAATATACGAGATCAAGGCAATAGCATGATAGGTCTATACCTACACTAGTAAATTATAGGTCTAAATATAATATATATGGGTCTAAATAAAGCATAGTGTCACTAGTGACCGACCCTAGTTTCGCACGTATCCAATTATTGCAGAAGTGTTTATTTTTTTATGTAATGTATAGCTTATGTCACAGGCTGATATTTTAAATGTATATAGGTAAAATATTATTTTAACAATTATTTTATATAATAATTAATAATTATTATTTATTTTAAATATCGCATCAGGTCAGATCAGTTAGCACTGCTTATTTTTTCTTTGGTTCATCGTTGTTGTTTTAAAATAGGTGTACTATTTAGATGGGCGAAAAGCATACCTTATACTGCCCAGTTATTAGTACATTTTTGTTTCAATTTTTTTACGAACTTACTTTTTTATCTTCTCTTGAAAAGACCAAAGGATAAAGCCCATACAGCCACATGACCTCGAAAACTAGTGTGTAGTTACATGTAAGATATTCTATTTGTAATGATGTGTACTCGTATTTATCCCACGATATATAGTCACATCAAAACATAAGAACGTAGCGTGATAACGTAGAACATAATTAAATTAATCATTGTAATATAAAATAATTAGAATAATTTTATTTTCCAGAATATTCGGCAGTGATTGTTCTGATTTTTATGACGTACAGTGCGATGATAAGAGACTGAAAAGCAATAAACATATAAAGTGAGTATTTAAATATTAGTTTACTAATATTTCCGCAGCGGAAATCTTAATCGATTTATCCGATTTTTAAAACCGATTTATCCGCAACTTCTCTCAATATGAACCGATTTGGATTATTCTTTTTTGCTCATTTGATTTTCCACTCGTGTCCTGCAATTCTTCACTCCTATTCATCAATTAAGAGAAACGCATACTCATAGCTACAAATATACAGTCGAATTTTTAACTCTAATGAATTAGTGCTAGTTGATAGTTCATATTCAGACATCTCAACTTAAAAATGTAAAGTTACTACAAAATTATCATATCATAATTACTACTAAATATTGAAGGTTGGGGCCTCGGGGCCCCTTTGCCTCGGCATCAACTCCGGGGCCAACAACCCCATGGTCACTGGATTTTAAGCCTCTTAGCTACGGGTTATTTAAAAACATAAACTGAACAGAAATATATAAACTAACTTAAGAAGTAGTGCCATATTTGAGGACAGAGATTTTTTTTTATTATTGCTGGTATTTCCATTAGATGGCGCGACATCTTGTTTGCCATTGGAGTTACATAAAAAAACTACTATATTTTATAATACACAATATTTCTCATACACAGCGCCACCTACGTCTCATCGCCGAACACTAATCACAGTTTCTGGACCGACATGGACCGGCTGGAGACAACTCCATTACTGTCGACGTTACGGAAAACGACTTACGACAATCAACCAAACAAAGTAAGAATATTAGTATCTTAATAATATATAATATTATAAATGCGAAAGTTTGTAATATGGATGTTTGTTACTCTTTGACGCAAAAACTACTGTACAGATTTTGATGAAACTTTACTGTAATGTAGCTTATACATCAGAATAACACATAGGCTATAATTTAAAAAGATATTATGTAAATAGGACGAACGACGACGAAATATAACGATAAATGTCAGATAGATAGTTTTTATTTGTATCTTAGTACACACATGGCAATGAGAATGCCGACCATCTGGCAAAGTTAGGGGCAAAAACCGTCCAACTGGGCCCCGAACCCTTCTGTGGTGTGCCTCGATGCCTAAAACTGGGACATCTCAAATTAATAACCAAACGAGAAGCACTGAATCACTGGCAAGAAATGCCAGGATTAATACATTCACAAGACCTAATATCGGGCTTCTCGACCAAATACTCCAATAGATTACTGCTATTGAGTAAAAACAACATATGTATGATGACTAGGGCCCTCACAGGACACTGCAAATTGAACAAGCATATGGCTAAGCTAGGCCTATGCACGTCAAGTATCTGCAGATTCTGCCAAACTGAAGAGGAAACGCCGCTTCACATCCTTTGTGGTTGTAGCCCACTCATGCATAAACGAAATATCTCCTTTGGAAAGTTTACACTCTTTCCCGAGGAGATAAAAACGATCGCTCCTAAGAATATCCTTCAATTCTTGTCCCTGACGGGTCTAGGTAGCGAAAAAACTCTCAACCAAACAAAGAAAAGGGCGAGCACAATAGATCTATGTAGGTCGCAGTGCTACAGGTGCTACACATCTGACAATAGCCCAAACAACCCAATAAAAAACAAAATAATAGTAAAACACATATAGGCTTAATTTTAACATCACATAACAAGTATAACAATCCAATAAGGGTAAACCTGCATGTGTGTGCTACAGCAATACAAAACTAGTACATAGCTCTGTGTGGAGAATCACTCAAGGAGCAAAACACTGATTTTACAGCTATGGCCTCGAGGGAGAATGAAAGTAAGTGTGATGCAGACGAATATATACAATAAATAAATATAGACAGATAGTGTATTATTACTTGAAGAAGAATTTGCATGTCAAATAAAATCGAATACAAAATCATTTATTCATGTACTAGGACATTTTAACCGCTTACGAACGTCAAGTTTTTGTTATTTTTTACTCTACTGTCCAGTCCAGTATACATATTCAATTGAGAAGAATTCACAAGAAACTTTTAAATTAATGTTGTTAACTCACTAAGAAAGACTTTATTTAAGTTCCGAATATATGGTAGAATTAAAAAATAAATTGAGAAGAACTGGCAAGAACCTCAACTAAATTTATTTTACTAAACTAGTTTATTCACATTATGTACTTATATAAGTGTCGATGTCTAACATTAAATGAAAATCCCGTGCATGAACAACTATTGCCATGCACGTTTGTCACTTATATGTGGATACAGATTGCCCATATTGTTGTAATTGTTGGTTTCTCAAATAAGTGTAGGTTTTATACACATATTTACGCAAGCTGTTGTTAAGAATATTGATTTGGAAATCATGATTTTGAAGACGTTTGTATATATTACATCGAATTAGGTGTTAATTTGCGGAAGTCCTTTTCGTTACTTAGTGGATTTATGACACAAAGAATACTCATGAATACAAATGTTTGTACTGTGCCTGGATACCACTACCATTGAAAGTAAAGCCTTATCCGCTAGACCGCCTAGGTCGTCGTTATGTCCTTACTGATGACATCTAACCGACCAATAACAGTACAAAAAGTCATCTTTTAGAGATAAGTCCACCCTTGCTCACTCTATATATATTTAACTGTACAACTGTATTTTATAGTGCAATAAAGAATATATTTGTACCATCATGCACCTGAGCAGTCGGACTATAGCATTAGCTGTTGGCCGCAGCTGCCCTTTTGAGCTTCACCGGACGATGGGAATTCCAAACCCGCGGAATTGTGGAGCGGCTGAAGGCCAACTCCAGCCTGACGGATACGACTTTAGTCTGAGGACTCCGCTAGGGATTAGGACCTCAAATCAGGCCATCATAATTTGAATCCCCGTTTGAATTGGACTGGGGATCTGGACATGTTTTACTATTAAATATTACAATTCCTGAATACAATACTGTCATCCGTTTTGCAATCAATTTTAAATTTTGCATAATTAATTTTAAACGATTGTTATCATTAGACGCTATTAGACAATGACCTGACGGTATCTGGACCGTTTATTTATAGATATCCTAGCTTTATCTAATGCCTCGCGCCACTAGATAAAAATATTGGTCGTGAACTCTCAAGTGAGTCCTGCGAGATAGTTTATTAAGAATTAAATAAATTTACAACTGCCACATTATCGTTGCTAATCAAGTTTACGTTACAACTGTCCTAGCGACAGCGAGTATTCCCACGAAATTATCACTATCTACTTTATAATTAAGTTAAATATGTCACTAAGCAATATTTATCTCAACCATATTCGACAAGTAATTTTTTATCTAATTTGCACGTTTTTAATGTACACAAGTCGTGGGTCGTCGTCGCAACGAGACCGTTTACCGTCGACGATGGCTTAGTTTAAAAAGCAGTATAATTTTCGCTTAGTCACAATGTTAGTTACCATACTCCTCTGAAACGACCGATTTTTATGAAATTTTATATGCATATTCAGTTTGAGAATCGGCTACTATCTATTTTTCACAATCCTGAGTGATAAGGGGTGTCCACACCAAACATATTTTTTTTATTTTTTGGGAAAAAAATTTATTTGTATTTTTTTATTATATGGCATTAAAAATACATCAACCCTAAAATTTCACCCTTCTGTCACCATCTCATAATTTTTTTAAAATATTTTTCATAATTTTCCATTTTGTTTTATTCACACTTCGGAATATTTTTGGATTAGATATTTTGAATATTAGGATAGAAAGGATGAAGTCGCAGTTACAAATAGTGTACGTAAACATTTAACTTCCAGGAACCTAATGAATTAACATCGAGTAGAATTATATCATCGTACAAAAGAATCGAGAAGGCAGCCAAACCCGAAAGAAAGAAACAAAGTTCCTTAGTCACAATGTGAGTACAGTTCCATTATAATTGTTATATGTATTAATACATATTTCTTTTCTTTATTCTTCTCTTTCTAATTGAGCATTGTGGCATAGTGGTCGCTCCGACGTATACCTAAAAGATCCTAAGTTTAAATATGATCAACGTAAAATAAAACTTTGGGTTAAGTAATTTTCTGAGTGATCCTCAGGGGTAGAGAACACTGATATCAAACCAAAAATTGATCCGAGAGGCGGCGGTAGACCTGCCTAGAAAGATAAAAAGATACCTAGAGAAGATATCTAGAGAAAGATACCTAGAGAAATGTGAGCATTGATGTTGTGTTCATGTGCGACACATTAATATACACAAAAACGATTTATAACAAAAAAATCTGGTACCTATCTATAGACAGTTACGTTAAAAAGAACACATTATATGCACCTGTACAAAGCCATGGCGGGTCACTAGTTATACTTTTGTACCTATATACTTAATATATTCTGTATGTTTTATTATTTTTGATTATTCTTTATTGCACTTTTTTTTTTGATGTTAATGGTAAGGTGCACCCGCCTGCGCTAACGGTTTACACTAGCGGAGCACCAGTGGAGGATGATAAGATGAGCATGAGGGCAAATCAGTTAGCACATCGTGAAAATTCACCAGGAATTTATCACGATGGTTTCCAGGGGGAACCGCGTGGAGGTCAACCATGGTACATTGCTGGTAATGGGTCAAGAGTCCACATTACTAACAATCCCAATCCCCCTTCTTTATTGCACTATTTAAAATAAATGTATAATATAATTGACGAGCGCCATATGATATTCTCTATCTAGTGGTAGAGAATATCATATGGCGCTCGACCACTCTTTTGACCATTGGGTAAAACAGAAAGCGTTTAAAGGGCAGTAATGAGAAAAGTCATAGCTATGTGTATCAATACTAATTATTTTGTATTTTTATAATGCAATAAAGAGTAAAAAATAAAAATAAAAATAAATAAATGAGTAACTAAATTTGGAAAAATATTGCCATGAGCACCAAGATCGTAATGTGTCAAATGCTTAAAATTTCAGATTCTCAGTATGGAACACAATTATGGGTTCCTCTTTGTTGACGATGGCGTGGGGTGTGGAGCGCGCTGGTCTGCCTGTGGCCCTCGTGTTGGTAGCTGTCATGGCTGCTTTGTGCTTGTACACGGCTTACGTGTTGCTACGAGTCAACCGTGACCATGGTATGGTAAATGTCAAAACTTTCTACCAATAAAACGAAAGTATTTAAAATCAAACTTAATTATTCAATGACAACAATTTTTATAAATGGAAAGAATTCTTTGAAAAATTTAATTTTTCAATAAAAATTTTCGATCTAATGTTTTCAAAAATAAAAAAAAATTTCAATAAAAAATTTAATTTATCAACTAATATCATTATCAAGGAATTGTGGCCTTAAAGCCCCACAGACAGTTATTATTGTTGATATATTGATTGATTGATGAGGGTTTTTTTGTTACATAAAACCGCCTCGGTTGAATGCTACTCGAACACTGATTTTATTACCAAAAGAAATGTAATGAGGTGAAATGTATTATGAGATGAAATTACATGTGTCGGCAATTGTGTATTCCACAGTAAGCAGGCATGTGCGGTTGCCCGTACACTGACAAAACATAGGTTATATTGTACTGTTTTAAGACTATATGGTAGTTGAATTACGGGATAAGGAGACATAAGATTTCTGAAAGAGTCTTCAGTAATGGCAACGTATGAGAGATACCATGGGCGTCATGACGCCCTTGATGCTGTCATGTCTATTTATCTAGGTTTTTTACGCGAATGGCAACCCTCACATTCTCTTTGCTAATAAAACAATACAATAATTGAAAAAAAGAAAACATTATGAATAAACATACATAAGAATTGGCCTTTGGCCTCATCACTTGTTCAAATATGAAGAAGTATAAACGTAGACTAGGGTGTACAGTCTAAGGATCTTTGCCTGTTCCATCACTGAAAAGGAGATGGACGAATATGGAAAAAAAAATGTTTATGGAAGCATGGGTGTGGAGGTAAGAGCCTTGCTTACTTTTGCTAACAAGGGGTATGGGGGGGGGGGAGGAAATAATTATAATACAATATCAGGGCAGCAAATTTATATGTAGCTTTATGCTGAGTTGGTTGCCTATTCACCTTTGTGGCACATAAAGTCACCTCCATTTCTTTTATTAGTGTATTTATTTTTTCTGTGCCTCACGTATGCTGTGTCTATTGGTCAATAAAGAATTTATCTATCTATCTATCTAACAGGTACAGCGACGTGTGAGGTACCGGCACTGTGTCGGGTGCTGCTCGGCCGCTCGTCAGAAGTTGTGGCACACGCCTTCAGTCTGGTGGTGTTGCTTGGAGCCAACATTGTCTACTGGATACTAATCACCAACTTCTTGTACTTCACTGTCAACTACTTTGCTGGTAACATCTTTCTCTTCCATATCTTTCCTCGCTGTTCTTTTTCACTCTGTGATAAATAAATGTATCGATAATCTATCGTGTATGGATATAAATTTATTGATATTTTAATTAATTTTTAAACAAACTTAAAAATTTAAAAACCTATAAATAAAATCCATCACAGAAATCACTCTTTTTGTGTATGAAAAGCGCATTCAAGTACACAGATAGTCGGCTTCGCTCGCGTAATTTATCCCTTTAGGGGTGGAATTTATCAAAATCCTTTCTTAGGGGATGCCTACGTCATAGCAGCTTTATGCGTGCAAAGTCTCAGCCCGATCGGTTTAAAATTGACAAAGTTTCATACAAATTTTCATCCCCTATTTTATCCCCTTGGGGGTAGAATTGATCAAAATCCTTTCTTAGCAGATGCCTACGTCATAACATCTACCTGCATGCCAAATTTCAGCCCGATCCCTGAGAAAGGGTTTAGGCTACTTTTTAATACGAAAAAAAGGGTTGTAAGAGGTTGGAAACGTTCCCCTTAAGGGGTTAAAATAAATTGGGGGATGAAAGTTTGTATGGAAAATCATCATTTTTGAAGCTAGAACGATAACACTTTTTCATTGAGGTAGATTATTGAATATTTGTTCTTTATTTGGTCATGGTCACTGTAACACGCAGACGAAGTCGCGGGCACAGCTAGTAATAAATTAAAAATTTCAATTTACATTCCCAGATCTCCGCAATACACACACACCAGTTTCCAACTTGACGTTGCTGTGTCCATCCAAAGATGGTGTGAACAGCTCCCTCATAATACCGGAGCCTGTTATCACCTCCACCTATTGGGATTTGCACAGCACTGTGCCAATATACGTGGCCTTCATCGTGTTCCCACTGTTGAACTTCAAAAATGTCACTTTCTTCACCAAATTCAACTCTCTAGGTGAGTTCATATTAAATTTTTGTTTTAAGACAGTGATATCACTAAAGTAAATTCAAGGACGATAATTATAAGACTGGTCAGGTGACACTGGGTGATATCTTGCCCCTGTGGGCCTTTTCCTTTGTACGGGGGTAAGAAAAAACTTAAAAGAAAAAAAAGAAGTCAGCTATATCGGGCCAACGCAGTCGGAGTCGCGATTGACTGACACTGCGATCCCGTGACTATCGATCCCGACAATAGGCGCCGGTATACCTTGAAGTTTTTAAACGAATAGGAGTCTCGCAGTACCCGACAGAGGCGAGGACTTGACTTTACTCCGGGGAGGTGCCGGGCAAACAAGCAAAAAAGGGATTTTCTCCAAGTAAAATAGGTTACTAATTTATTTCAACAGTGTAACTTTACCACATTTCATTATTTGAGAATGGGGAATAGAGGTTATTAATAATATGGACTAATAATAACCTAAGGCAATTCACAACGCCATCTAGTCCCAAAGAAAGCAGAGCTTGTTTCATGGGTTCTAGACAACTGATAGAAATGCTTAAATACATTTTTTATTACATACATAATATACATAGAAAACACCCAGACGGATACAACCAATCATCTATACATAAACCTAAATAAAATTGGAGTGTCTGTTTGTAATATTGAAATAACCGTTTTTTACTACATGCATATGAATATAAATACAATACATACACCAAAATAACACTTTTTACAATTTTTGTCTGTCTGTCTCTTTGTTCAGCCTAATCTCTGAAATGGCTGGACCGATTTTGACGGGACTTTTTTTGACAGGTAACTTAGGCTTCTATTTTAGAAAAATTCTTTAATTATTTTTTGTTAAATTCCACGCGGACGAGTACAGCTAGTACTTAATAATACAAATGTTTGCACCGTGCGCGGAATTCAAACGGTAGATTTGATAATCAAAAACTCTCTAATAGACCTACACGAATAAAGTTTTGACGATTTGATTGATTTGATATTTATTTATTTATATTTCAGGTACATTATCTGTGGTGTACTTACTAATATTTGTATTAACAAAGGGTTACACGTGGGGGATCCACATGAATAACATGGTGATCCCAACGCAGGTGGACAAAAACGCGGCAGTACTCAGCGGAATGTTAGCGTTGTCTTTCTACATACATAACATAATTATAACAATTATGAGCAACAATGCGAGACAAGAGAAGAATGTAAGTTTATTTTTAATCAATCGACTAATACGACTTACATTTTCATGACTACAATTAAGTAAATTGTTATGAATAAAAGAAAGAAATATAGGATGGAATGAAGATGGGATATTTCTTTCATTTTATTTCATTTATTCGTATCTAACAATTTGCATTGTGTTGTATTGTTACGTGATTTTTAGTGAAATGTGTAAAATTATAGGGTAGTCGGACGCGAAATTTATAAATATCTTCGCTATTTTAAATATTTTAGTTTGTATTCATAAGTATGAGTATTTTAAGTATTTTAAGGTATTATTTTCCACATATGATTTCTGGGCGTTTTCTATGTCTGTTATGTACCTATGTATTTAGAAAAATATTGCATTTAAATATTTATATCAGTTTATTTGGTACTAGATACAGTACTAGCTGTAGTTAGCTCGTGTAAATTCTTGTTGGTTATTATTATTATTCAATTTCAGGGTAGAGATCTTACAATAGCGTTTGTTCTGGTAACACTGACATACACATTGGTCGGCGCTGTGTTCTATATCTGCTTTCCATTGGCCAAGTCTTGTATAGAAGATGTAAGTAAATTGAACAATAAATACCTACCTATTACCATATACCTCTATAGGTTTTTTTATTACTTAATTGTTATGAGAAACCAGCGGACGACTGTAAGCGGTACCAGTGCTACACTTGTAACATTTCTGCCAACACTCGGCACCCTTGCACAAATTTACGTCTCTATATAAATTTGATTTAGGTTTAGTGTAAAATCAGTCCACGTTACGACACCTAGTCGAATAATACGCTCTGTACGCGCCATGTATACGCCATACTATCAAATAAACTTACTAATGTACAATAAATAGTTCAATTATTACACCTGTATACTCACTACCTAGATACTACAGGAACCAAATATATTATGTAGCGACACCTCATCACATCATATATAACACCACAATGGTGAAGTGATAACCACCGCCACACGGCCTGTAAAAATGAATATAACCATGAACATCACGTGATCATGTAATATGATACCACTCACTCATTCCAAAAGACTTAGATGTCCTGTGATTATTCTATAATTTCACTGCCCTATATACTTCAATAGAAATACAGTTTACAACTGATTTTGATGAATCCGAAGTATCCACATAGAAGGCTTCTCTAGAAATTTTACGTCGGTGAACATTAGGTAAAAAACTTTATTGTTTTTCAGTTTCTTTGCTGATTCCTCTTGTGATGTATTTACGTTCAATGAAGAAGAGAAAACAATTACAATTCAAAATTCCATCATCAAAACTCAAGTAGTTTTCCTTATTCCTAAGGTTGATAACAGCTCCGCAGAATTAGTTACATTGTGGTTACACCAATCCGTCTGCGCGGTCTTTTACATAATGGAGAGCATCATGAAACTTGGTGTCCAGAGATAAGCAGTCCAGTGACTTGGTGTCCAGACGTCAGACCATCTTTTGGGGCTACGCCATCTAGGACGTTTGCCATCCACCATGAATTCAAAATATCTTTATTCACGTAGGTCAATTACAGACTCTTATGATATGTCAAATCTACCGTCAGTTCAGAATGATTTCAATATGGGAAGAACTAACAAAACACTCGGCTCGTATTTTTTTTTCAAATAAATGTTGTAGGTACATAATTACAATAATACAGATTCATTTTTAAATTCACAAAGAAGGTCATAGAAGGTCCCAAACCTTCTATGACCTTCTTTCCGCGCGAAAAGTGTTTATATTAGGTTTATTTGAATAATTAATAAATATTTCTGTTTCTATTACAGAATATTTTGAACAATTTCGAGATGCATGACGTGATGACTGCCGTTGCAAGAATATTATTACTTTTCCAAGTAAGTATGCATAGGAAAATATTTTCAATTACGTAACGCCCGTTTTTAAATATTTTTCATTGTAGCCTCGCTCCTGCATGATGATGAAGTTTCTTCCGATGGTCGCGGGTACGACTCCTTGCACGGTGCAAACATTTGTATTCATGTATATGATTGTTTGTATCGATCTGGGTGTTTTCTATGTATAATAGGTATATATGTATTTACAAAAAAAAATCTATGTATATGTATCAGTTATCTAGTACCCATAACACAAGCTTTAGCTAGCTTAACATTGCCCTGAGATTATTATTATATTATGAGTATGATTGTTTGTAACGGTCTAGGTGTTTTCTATGTATATTATATATGACTAATTTCAGCAAAAAAAACCGTAGTATATTTAGTATATTTACAAACAAAAAATATCTAAGTATTTATATCAGTTGTCTAGTACCCATGACACAAACTCTGCTTACCGTGGGACTAGATGGCGCTGTGTTAATTGTACAGGGTTATTTATCTATATTTAATCATTTTAGTTAGTTTAGTTTTTGTTTTGACAGCCTCAGCGGTCTAGTGGACGAGCACACCGTTTTACTTCCGATTATATTAGACGCGAGTTCGATTCCTCGCACAGTACAAATATTATCGGTATCGGTTTAAGTGTTGTCGATGTATATTATATATCAGTAGTTTGGTATCCATAACACAGCTCTGTTTAACTTGAGACGCTTGACGCTGTGTGAATTGTCCAAAGATATTACTATTATTTAACTAGAATCTAATAGCTGGTGATTAATTTTACCACTCTTGCAGGTGGTGACCGTTTACCCCCTAGTAGCGTTCATGTTGCGTTCCGAAGCAGTGCTACTGTTGCCATTCACATCTACAAGATGCCTGACAATCACCATCAACATTGTCATAGTCATCACGTGTATACTGGTTGCCTGCTTCTGTCCTAGTATCGGGACTATCATAAGGTAGGCCAGATGGTATCTTTTATAACTCTTAGCTTTTTACAATAAGGTTAAATTTTGATGTTACTTTTTGCGTATAGACGACACACTATGTTGCTCACGCCGTTTTAGTTTGTACCTATATTGTATTTTGTTGATTTATCAATGTAATTGTGTATCTACATTTTTATTTTTGTTGTTTATGACTTGTGTGTGTGTATCTATCTATTGGATAGTATATCTATCTTGCAATTGGTTCTATACGAATTGGAAAATAAAATGGCTGCTATAATTGAAGCAAAACTGGGTTTTAAATATAGTATCCATTTGGTAATACTAATTAAGATAATCACAAGTACATACACCATATTTTTCTATACGTACCTCAGAAATCAGGGACTTTTTAAAAATTAAGAAAAACATTTTTTTTACTGTCTATTGCCTACAACCTTAAGTGAGCAATACATGTTGGCAATTTTTATCGCAATGGAATATACAGTGTATAATATTAAGTGTTTATTATTAGTTCTCGAAGCAAAATAATGAGAAACTTATTTATTTATGACGCATTCATAAATAAATAAGTTTAATTATTATATAATTAAAGTTTAATTAAAATTTTAATTATTAAATAATAGTATATTATATTCAATATTTTTTTAATAGTAAAATCTCTTTGCTATTGCACACAGAAAATATACACAAAATAACAATATTGATTTTTCCATATTAGTTCTAAAATTATTCAATATTTAGTTTTAAAACTGTTCATTCTAAAGGTATAATAATTATTGACTTTTATCTATTTGTTATCTTTTTACTTAAAAATGTAAAGTTGTATATAAAATTCAATAAAAAATGTGTCAATTCTAAAGTTGAATACTTCAAATTCTTTTGAATAAGAATATTTACTTCCATTATTTTTGTACGTAAATGCTGAATTGTTTATTGTGGAAAAATAAACACTAATTACTTTGTTTTATATACTCGAGAGCCAATAATACAAACTTATACAAAATGTATATACATACCTCACTCTTACAGCATTACTTCCTACACAGAGATAGCCATGATCGAAACAGAAGTGTTACCATTACATGTCTAAAAATTAACCACAATTATTGCCATACTCTATTATAATTATCCCTAATAAAACATTAATATTAACAGGTACACAGGAGCCGTAAGTGGTCTAGTTCACATCTTCACTCTGCCTTCCCTGCTGCACATGCGTTCCTTACATCTTCGGGGACAACTAACCTGGTGGAAGACCCTCTTCTACGGTCTTATTGTTGTCTTTGGCGCTATCAATTTACTGATGCAATTCTTTATTGACGAATAAACAACTTGTAAATGTAGATTCTATCAAGAAGATAATTCTTGTGGTGTTTTATGGATAATTACAGCCCCAGATGTGAACTGAAGTAAATGCAATCTTATAAGGCTAGAAGCCAGGTCCGTAAAATTGACGTTGTTAATAAAAAAACAAAAATCGTGTAATGGTAGACGGGGTACTCAAAAACATTGTCAACTGTCTACGTAATAGTGAAATTAATAATGGACATGCCCATATTCGCTGGGTTTTTTTAATCCAACGTGGCAGTGGACGCCGCCATCTTGGATTATATTGGTACCAAAAATACGGGTTTATACTTAGCTTGGGTATCAGGTAACAATGTATAATTTCAAAATTGGAATTGGAAAAATAAATTAATAATATTATAATATACCTATCTAGTCATATTTTATAAGTTATTTCTAAATGAAACCAAAGATAGTTTTTATTATTCAACCTGTATAATCAACAAAAATAAAAGGTAACAATTAAACTTAATATTATTGTATAACAAAGAATTGTAAACACTTTTAATTGCATTATTGTATTAAAATAATAAAGAATCATTAATATTGTCTTTGACCAATATCATTTTTTTTAAATCTTATTTTTAAATATACTTCATATATTTAACAATATTATTATTGCATAATATCATGTTCATGTATACAAAATATCTAAAGAAAACATACAATACCAATTCTATTTTCATAAGTTGTGTGACTGTGATATATTTAAAAGAAAATTACTGTACAGTAGAATAAAAAGGAAAACGTGAGAAATCGTAATAAAAAAAAACAAAATCAATAAAAGATTAGAAAGAAAAATGCACTTGTAAATTCATCAGTTTTCTAGAACTATCTTTTGTTCGTTTCCAATACTCTAATACCATCCTAAGATAATGTATCAGAATTCAATGGCGAATATTCAGTGGGTTGGATTTCCGAACGATATAAACATTTTATATATACAAATATACATACTTATTGAAAAATATAATTTTAGTATAATATCTAACATTACATATATATTTTAGTTAAAAAAATATAAAAATATATAGCTACAAACAAAGGTTGATACCAAATTACGTCACAATAACGTTTATAATTTTACAATAATTTTCTCATTTAATATACAATAGGTATTCAAAATATATCTGTAAAGATGAAAGCTATTTTCTTTTAATATAAAATCATTGAGTATTTATAAAGTCAAGTAATTTATTTTTTTCACTTAGCCTCACACAAGCAGATGAAAATAAGAAATGTTCTCCAGTGGTGCCGCGCCAGCGTATATTGTCAACGCAGGCGAGTACACTTGCCATTATCATTCCATAAAAAAAATGAAACGTTGATATTAAGTGCCTTTATCTTGTGGACGATATTTCATAGAGTTGTAGTCAAATCGAGGATACACAGCCTTAAATTACATATGAAATTTAAAAAAGTTTCAAGGCGGGGAGTTCTTGTGGACAATATTTCGAGTTAGCAGTCAGTCTTAAATTACCAAAACTTTCAAGGCGGGGAGTAATGTGCAGCCGTTTTGTGACGTAATTTATATATCGCCTTCATTGCAGAATTTAATTGTCGAGTCCTCTTACGTAATGACGGTGGGTGCTACACGTCCTGTGTATTTCTGCAACTCAGATATTTGTAGCGCGACATCGACTAGCGGCCGCAGCATCACTTGAGCATCTCCGAGGACGTCCTTCGCTTCATACGAGTCTATATACAGCCTGTTGAGATTACATTAGCAAATTACTTTAACGTTACATTTCTTAAAGGATGATCATCAAGTACATGGGTATTGTTATTTTTAAAGCTAGAAGCTTGAAACTTGGGTTTAGCTTTTAAGGCTGTTCATGAAATAAAATGAATTAATTAATAAATAAATATTATATTCAAGGTTTGTAAAAATTTTGCAGTTAGGGAGGTAAAATAGAGGATGAGAAATTTCATGATTTTTGAAGCTTTGAACGTTAAAACTTTTTAGTTTGAGTTTTTTGGGTTAGACTAATAAATATTTTTTCATTATTTGAGTTATTGTTTTGTTTATTTCATTCATCAAAAGTAGATTACTTTCAAATATAAATATTTATAATATTGTGATTTGTCTAGACAAATCTAGACAGATCAGCTCTTTGCAGTGAAACACTACAAATAGCTTACTAAAATATTTATACGTATGAATGTTATTTGTAAAAGTATAAGCCTTGATAATTAAAATTCCTATCCAAGGGCGGAATACAAAAAAAATCCTAAATTCAGGGCAAACGAAATCGTAACAGCTAGTTTCGAATATAAAAAAATCATACCGAACAGTAGCTCCGGAACTGCCCGTGCCACTCAAACGCATCACGATGCGAGATCCGTCCGCGAATATAATACGAAGTCCCTGTAAAAATAATTAATAAAAACAAAATAGAAAAATATATTTTTTTATAAACTGATATAAAATATATTTTTTTTTATAAAGTGATTCTTAAAAATAATAAACATAATCTCATGTAATCGATTATAAAAAAAAATATCAAAATCAGTTCGCAATTACCGAACACACCAAAAATACGCTAACATATTCCGTTAGCGCAGGGTGCACCATTCCATTCTCATAATTAAAAAAAAAACACAAGTTAAAAAGGCGCTATATGTAACAAACCTGCTTCAAAGCTATGCTCTGATCGATGGGGTCTACATAAGAGAAGTTATCTGCCAATTTGACTATATACGTCTTCCCGCCGCTCGAGTATGACGACCCGATGAAGCCTGGCTGTGTCATCTTCCTCTCGAGGGCTTGCATCATATCGTTGCAGGGATCACTGGCACACTCCTCGTAATCATACCTGTCAGAGTATATATAGAACATAGTGTTGTCGTCGTCGATATGAATTGACTAAACAAACAAACACGTTTCGACTTGTAAATGTAAACTTACAAGGATTATTTAAAAGAGCAACACACAAGTTTTTGCTCGTTCTTCTTGTGATGAGACGGCTTTCCGAACGAGTGGTAGATACAAAATAAATTGTTATAACTATTCAAAAGTGCTTAAATTAAGTTTATTTGAATAAATGATTTTCTATTCTATTCTATTCTATTCTATAAAGGCTATAATAGTATAGCAGAAAGGGTGGACTCACTACATTCTCTGAGTTATAGACCGTTTTGCCTCGATTAATTCTATATTATAATAGCTGTCCCGGCAAACGTTGTTTTGCCTTAAAAAAAATAAAAAAAATTGGTTTGGACTACCCCTAACATTTAGGGGGATGAAAAATAGATGTTGGCCGATTCTCACACCTACTTAATACGCTCACAAAATTTCATGAGAATCGGTATTATTTGAGACTAATAAAGATTAAGAAGAACATCATACATACTATCATGGATTTTACACACAGACACATATATACACATGTTTACTGCATATGATTACCAGTGCCTGTAGAAGGAAAGCGTTTGACAATAGAACCTTAATAATATTCAAATTATAATTTAAATTAATTATGTTCGAAAATAGACCACTAGCCGACTACTAGTTAAAAAAAAAGTAAATATTTTTATTCATATACCACAACATAATCCTTAGTGGTTTACGGTTTAGCGCACCAAATCATTTCTTGGATTCTCGATTCCCGGCACGATACAAACATTTCTGTTCATAATTATGATTATTTGTAATCGCATTTTTCTATGTATGGTGTTTGTATTTACATAATACAAAATCTACTTGGGTATTTCTAACAGTTGTTTAGTACCCATAATGAAAACTCTGCTTAGCTTGGGAGTAGATGGCGCTGTTGTTTGCCTAGTTATTATTATTATTCAATTCACGGGATATAGCCAGTATTTTATAAAAAAATATAAAGACTCATCTACTGAAATGATTTCGGCCAAATTGACCTCAATGCGCGGTCAGAATCTGCTCTACAGATTTACCGAGAGCAGAAATGACTTGGATCCACTTTCATATATAGAAAGTGAATTTATCAACAAGTCACATAATCTCCATTCCATGTAGGCAACACCGCGGGATATAGATTTTATAGAAATATAAAGACTGACCTGGTGAAATAATTCCGACCAAACTGTCCCCAATGCGCGGTCAGAATCTCCTCTACAGATTGTCCCAGAGCAGCGATGACTTGGAGCCACGCCAGCGCCGCCCACAGCCCATCCTTTTCTCGCACATGATCCGAACCCGTGCCGAAGCTCTCTTCACCACACAATGAGAGGCGACCGGCGTCCATTAGGTTACCAAAGTATTTCCAACCTGAAAGAGGAGCATAGAAGAGAAAGAAACTTTACTCTCCGTCTACTCTCTAGTTTTAAAACCTGATATTTTGATAGTCGTCTGTCTATGGAAGATTTGTTTTGCCGATTGGAGATAATTAAGGTATATATTTAACATACCTTAATTTTCTCGGACTTCTTCATATAGACACACTCAAACAAAATTCCGATCGGTAAGGTAAGTTTTTAAGAAAAAACACGCTCCGCTCAACATGTGAGCATGTGTAAACAACACACAGGTAACAAACCTAGTTATTATTATATATTCACAGCAAAATATCTATAGAATGTATCGTTATCGCTATATTGCTAATACCGTTGAGACAGGTAAGACGTAAGGTCTCTGAATATAGATAGAGAAGAATACATACATACATTCACATATATATATTTTCACACACATATCCGCATATACAAACTCAACTGTATATAGTGTATACTAAGATTTATATCTTTTTAACAAGTTCTGTAATCATTACTTATTTGTTTAGTTTAAGTTTCGGCACTGTTTGGTCTTTTCTATCAACATATTGTCATATTATATTACTTGTATATGTATTGACTGTTATGTGCCAAAATAAAAAAAAATACCTACATCGTAACTTTATGTGGACACTTTCCTCTCTTCTGCTTCTTTTAATATTGATACGTTACCAACAAAATGTTATATTACTGATGTGTGCTTTTTTTTTTTTACGAGATTTTCATGTACAAAACAGTAACTGCCTGCAAGGCTACTCGAAAGAACCACAGACCTTCGGTAGCCCGCTGAAATAATTCACTCACCGGTTGGTACTTCGAAGATTTCCTTCCCAGTGGCGGTCGCCACGCGGTCCACCGCTGCTGCAGTGGGCATGCTCCGAGCGAAGCCCTGCACCCCGGTCCGTTGGAAGTATGGGATGTGCTGCAAATTGTTAGCCAGTACTGCCAGCGAGTCAGAAGGAGTCACGAAGAATGCTCCACGCCCTATTATCATATTACGGTCACCTGGGGACAAGAGTCAATTTATTTATCACCTCATTCCTCCAGCACCGTTCCATCACCGTACAACAAGACATAGAGAGCAGCTCCATCCATTTACTGCTGACATCCCTGCTGCTCGAACCAACCGTTTTGCATTATCTTTCCTTATGCGAGCAGCTAAGGAGTAGAACTCTCTACCAGTGTCTATTTTTCCTGCCTCTTACAACATTGGGTCTTTCAAGTCAAGAGTACATAAGCACTATTTGAGCTTGCGTGTGATAGCTTAGATCGTATCATCACTTAACATCAGATTATCAATCAGCTCAAATATAAACATGACGAAAATCGTCCTATTTATTGTTGCTGACGTACTGGCCACATACTTTTATAGTTGATATATTATATTTTTCTAAAGAATTTTATTATATCTTTTTATTTCTCTTTATTTTTTTTGGGATGACAAAAATGTGACGATGACAATCCCATCATACCTACACCAAATAACAAAAATAAACTAAAAAACAAATAAAAAACTTAAACTAATATGATATCATATATATTTTTTGTATACAGAACTTTATTATAAAATAAACATTGTGACAGACAAGAACATTTATATTTGAGCGCTATCATGTTATATATTTACTTTAATGCACCGCCCACTAATCTCTATTTACCGTATGGTCGACTGGAAGAAAATGTCTTATGATGTTAAGACCGCCATATGCATCTTTATATTTGTATTTGCGCATTAAAGTTTTAATAAATAAATTTAAAAAAATAAATGTTTACTGCAGAATTAGATATATATAACTTTTATTATATAGAAAAAAAGTTAATACACAGCTATATTGGTCAGTTAACAAAATACTATAGCTGTATGCATTAGGCTGAAATTTTCAAATTCTATAATCATTCATCAATGTATTTAAGACATTTTATTACTTATGATAATCAAGTTCTTTGTATTCTTATTTCTTCACTGAATATGTTGTTAAATATGAGACAATATATAGACATTATATACTCACAAAATTGCTCACACAATTTTTTTTAATACACTATAATTCTTTGTTCCAGTACAGGTTATAATAATATTACCACAGAACAATTCACATAGCGCCATCTAGTCCCAAGTAAAGTAGAGCTTGTGTTATGGGTAAACATACAACATGAATAAAAAGATAATTTTTTTAAATACATAATTTACATAAAAAGCACCCAGACCGCGAATACAAATGTCAGTACCCTGCGAGGAATCGAACCCGCGACCATCGGAAGTAAGGCGGTGTGCTAAACAGCTATCCACCGAGGCCATCAGATGTTTTATTGATTGTTTACTAGCTATTCGCCCCGACTTCGCCCGGGTGTACATGTATTATACATATAAACCTCTGGAATCACTCTATCTATTTAAAAAAACCGCTTCAAAATCCGTTGCGTAGTTTTAAAGATTTAAGCATACATAGAGACAGACAGACAACGACAGCGACTTTGTTTTATACTATGTAATGATTTGCGAACGCAGGTTCGATTACTGGCATGGTGAAAACGTTTGTATTCACTTTTACACCAATAAAAGACACTGATTACGTTACCATCTCCATCGAAAGCTGCACCAAAGTCATAGTCTCCATTCTTCACAGAGTTCACCAGGTCTGCTGCGTAGGTCAGGTTAGGATCAGGGTGGGCGCCACCGAAGTCCTCCAATGGGATCGTGCGATGAATGTTCTTCTCCGACGCTCCAAGTTCACCCACAAAAATGGATTTCACATACGGACCAGTGACTAAAACAACCAGAGGGAGACTTTATACTAAGTAACTATAATAATAGATTTAATCAACGATAACCCCTCCGATCGATATCCGCCGTCCAATTCAAAAGGGGATCGAAATTACGACAATTACGACGGCCTGAGCTGAAGTTCGCCCCTAATGGGGGCCCCCAGACTAGTCGTATCCGTCAAGTAGGAGTTGGCCTTCAGCCGCTCCATAAGTCCTTCCCCGGGTTTAGAGTGCCATGAGCTTTATCAAGCTATAAACGCTGCAGCCAGCAGCATTAGAGTAGTCCGAAAAAAGAACCATGATGCAAAAAATATAATGTGGAAACGTAAACAAGTGGAAGGGTGCCGAGTGTTCATAGAAATATTATTTTTAATATTATTATCTAAGCAACTGTTGTAATATTTCTGTCAACACTAGGCACTACTAAATACTTGTACAACACACAAATTATTGTCGATGGTGCTCATGTTGTCTATGTGTCAGCTTATTTCCTTACTTCACAATACTAACATCTTAATTAAATATATATATGCTCATAATATGTTTGTATGTAGTACATTATTATGTATATGTATAATCTTGTATCTATTTATTATAATTATATTTAATTTATTAAAACCAAACCGCCATCGAGTATCTCTGCACTCCTTAAGGTTGGCTGGTAGAGAATGCTATTAGCATTAAGGCGGCCTATTGTACAAAATTCAATAAAGTTCTAAATAAAACTTACCCCCACTCATAGAATCAATCAGTACATTAAACGGCTTCCGTCGCTCTGAGCCCTGTATCAGAGCTTTTATCTTGGGAAAGTCGAAGATTTCCTTCATATACGCCACATAATCCTGCACTGAGTCAATGACCTCCACTGTAAACTGCCGGCCTTCGATCTGCAAACATATCAGAGACCTTGTAATAAATAATAATAAATAACACCAGACAATTCACACAGCGCCATACACTGAGGTGCTGCCTTTTTACCTAACCATACACACACTACGTTACTCATACCGTTTTTTGTTATCTGTATTGCATTTTATTTTATCTGTATATTTGTTGTGTAATTTTGTTAACTAAAATGTGTATATCTTTATTATTACAGGTGTGTGTGTGTGCACTGAATAAAATTTTTTTTATCTATCTATCTATTATGATACAAATACATAGATATATTTTTTTTCGTAAATATATACATAAATATTATACTTAAAAAATACCCAGACCGATACAATCATACTCGTGAATACAATGTGTGTGCCTTGCGAGGAATCGAACCCGCGACCATCGGAGGAAAAGCGGTGTCCTTTACCGCTAGATCACCGAAGCCGTCGAATATCAATGGCATTGGATATGTTTATGCATGAAACCTTTTTTTTAAATATGAACATGAAATGGCGCACCGGCCTGCGCAAACGGCATATAATACGAGGATGATAAGATAAGCATGAGGTCAGGTCAGTTAGCCCATCGCGACACATTTACCAGGAATTTATCATGATGTTTTCCAGGCGAGACCGCGTGGACATCAAGCTGACACGGTACCAATGGTATCAGAAATTAAGTCATAAGGAATTATTTATTCATTTATTTATATCCTTTGTGCTGACAATCGTCAGCTTGTCCCAAGACATAGGCCTCCAAAAGACTCCAGGCTCCTCTGTCCAATGCCTTCCTTCTCCATGTTGGTCCCGCAACTGCCCTTATATCATCCTCCCATCCTAAATTTACCAGGAATTTATCATGATGTTTTCCAGGCGGGACCGCGCGGACATCAACCTGACATGGTACCAATGGTATCAGGAATTAAGTCATTAGGAATTAAGGTTTCGTAAATTGGTATCAGGAATTAAGTTATCAAGAATTAACCGTGATGGGTTTCATGAGATCACCCGGCGTGGTACATTGCAATTGTGTCACAAGATCCATCTGTGATTCGCACGCATTAACAGTGGGCACTTTGGATCATAACATTAATATTGTTATTTTCATAACAATCTATTTAAAGTACTGAATGTTATTAACATTAACTGTTAATGATACGATACAAATCATCTTCAATTACACTTATTATCATCATTATTCCTAGCCGGTAGTGGAAACAAAAATAGTATTATACGTTAATTACAAAATTGAACTTTATTCAAATGTACATTACGACATCAATTTGCGTATCGTCATTATGACATGACAATTTTTTGCTGTTACAAAATCTGATAATCATAGAATACGTAACAATGATTTGTATATATCCGACAATCAATCGTGATACTATCACAGATTTGTTATCACAGATTACAGAGTAGTTAATAACATAGGTAGACTGAATACAAAGTCTACGTGGGTTTCACAGACATCTAGCAGCTGAATTTGTTTGCTGTGTTTTGATTCAAAGGTGATATATAGATAGATAGATGGTGGGCCGGGTCATGGTGCTCCTTGTGGGGACTGGTCTGTTCAGGTTACGAACATTGATTAGACTTTTTGCTTTTGCAATAACATATGCTAACGGTCACTCTATTCTCCCAAATTTGAATTTACAATGAATCTGAATTATTATAAACATGTATGTCTAACATTTATTTGAAAATAATACAAGCTGAGTTTCTTGTCAGTTCTTCTCTTCTTGAAGTCATTCCGAACTGACGGTAGATTTGACATATCAAAAGCGTCTGTAGTAAATCTAAATGAATAATAATATTTTGATTTGGTATATAAAGTATCTCAAAGAAATTCCGATAATAAACCTATACTTCAAAATGTCAATGAATACGGTAAAAAAGAAGAAACAACCTCCTACATTTTAAAGCTGGTTAAAAATGATCATACTCACATCAAAAGTCTGCACACCAATCTTCTCAATGGGCACAACCAGATCTGGTACAATCTTGTATTGCTTGATCGTAGTGGTGAGTGCGTAGATCTCATTGGTTGTTTGATCTGGGGCCGGTCCACCATTGCTGCAGTTGAATTTGATACCAAAATCATTGTTTATACCGCCAGGATTGTGGGATGCAGTTAGCACTATACCACCTACAAAATTAAATATTGACTACAGACTGTTTGTCAATGCATAATTATGTAAAAAAACTGTACTGTTTGAATAATGGCTTGTATATTTTTTTATTTGCTTGCATTATATGTATACTGTTGAGAAACTCTTTTGATATTAATATATTTAAAGTTTTCTTGAATTCTATAATCAAAATTATATTATGTTACTTCACTCTCTACCATCTTACCATTAAATAGATTTTTCCAGTCATAAATAGTTACTACATATTTTTACAACATATACACATGTAATTATAAATTCAACCAGTTTGACATAGTAATCAGCATGAGAATCAGTCATATCATCATGATTTTTCTATGCAAATGCCTTTGGCTCTGCACTAACAATATACACCAGTGGAGGACAAAACGATAAGCATGATATCAGTTGGCTTTTTGTTTATTATCATTGTTGGTATTTACAACAATGGTTTTGGGGGGAATCATATGACCATCAATTCATCCCCCTCCAAATTACAACTTCATGTTATACACCTAGTACATCTGATGTGATCATAGTTTAAGATTCCATGTAAATAAGACATTTATTAATATATATAAGTATGAGAGAACCATGAAATATGAATTGACTGAATTACTTCTTTTAATTTAAATGGCTTCCATAAAATGAGGTCGGGTATTTTTTATGAATTCAGTTGGTCACAAAGGTTTTTATGAGGAGATAAAAACCTCTTAAGAATATCCTTCAATTCTTGTCCCTGACATGCCTATGAGCCGAACACTGAAATAGGGTGAGCACAATAGATCTACGTAGGCTGCTTGCTGCAGGCCTTAACACCTGACTATAGCTAAAAACCCTTAATAAAAAAAGAGGATGTCATGGAATCAAAAGAATAAAAACTCGAAATTAGATTGTATACTAAGCTAACAGGCCAGCAACATACCTAATAGGGTTATAATATATTTATGTAATATAAGGTACTTTACTCACCAAGGGTCTTATATTTTCTAATTATATGAGACACTGCAGGTGTTGAAAGTATGCCATTTTGACCCACTAGTAATTTGGACACCTGTCAAGAATATTTTATTTAAAACTATATATGTAACACATAATTATATACTGGACTAGCTGTGCCCACGGTTTCAACCCCATGTAATTTATAGCCTATGTGTTAATTTGATGTATAAGGTGTTGTATAACAATAATTGTGTAATTGTTTTTTTATTGTCACTCTCACTATCATAGGGTTTTATTAAAAAATATCTATAAACATCTTTTAATACATAACATAAGCTATATTATCATGAAGTTTTATTAAAATCAATTCAGTAGGTTTTGCATGAAAGAGTAACAAACATCCATCAATCCATCCACCAATCCACACACATATTTCCATGAATATATTAATAAGAATTAGATTTTATCCAATATCATCTGAGTTAGTACCTCTGTCTCACCAATATCAACTAGCACTAAAGCAGCTTCTTTGGAGCTGTTTTGGTTGGATGTTGGACTTCTTTGGACGGTGAGAAATAGCAGTGAAATTATTGGGTACAGAAGAATAACACCTTAGTTGTCCGAAATGGTATTGTATGAAGTGCTATAGGTCACTTGGTGAAATGATGTTATAGCTCTCTTCATGTACATATATGACTGTTACCACTTACCACCAGATGGCCATCAGCTTCTTTGGCATTCCAGGTACATAAATAAAAATTATCATATTTTCTACAAATTATTTTTAAATGTTAAAATGTTATTGAACAACAAATATCTTTACAAACTCATGGTTATACAATTAGAAAAAAAATTACTAGGATAATAAGGGAAAAATCCTTTAATTTAATATTCATCAATCTAGATTAACGCGCAGACGAATAATTAAATATTAAAACATGTTAATAATGTACAGTATTTAAAAGGAATACTTACACCATTCGCTGCCGATATTTTAATAATCTTGTCCACAACTTCCTTCACCAAATATCTGCCATCGCCGCCGACAACTAACGTAGAACCTACTATAACCTTCTTGTTGGCATCTAAAATACTTTGAACAAAGTTTTCCGTATAATTTTCTTGAAGAAAAACTTTAACTTTCTTTCGTAAACCACTGGTACCCGGCTTTTGTCCTTCATAAACTTTAGTATTCACAGTAATCACACTAGGCATCTTTGTTGAATGAAATAATATTAATGCGACTAATGCCTGTTATCTTAATAAGAACATTTAATAATATAATATTAGAAATAAATTATCGCAGACCGGAAGGTCAACAAAGGAGACGAAGAAATAAACAGTACATATAAGTCAAATTACTGTAATTGTCAGTTTTGACATATATCTTGAAGTGTTACGTCAAATGAATGACAGATAATATAAGTTATTTAAAAGATGCGTTCTTGGAAAAAAAAAATAAAAAAAAAAAAAAAGATGCGTTCACTTCCTTGAATATTCACAAAAATCATTAACAAGAGTCGAGAAAATTAAAATATCAATATTGAATATATATAGTACGCTTTTTTTCAAATAATTTTAGTATAAGGACCTTGTATAATCATTTTATAGAAGTTAGGTCAATTAGCTCGTCTTGGCAAATTCAACAGAAATGGACCACGATGGTTTCCAGGGGCGCGTGAAGATCAAGCTGATTAATATAATTTCTTTATTAAGTTTGTTGGATTAAAAAAAAGATACAAAATATAGATTAAAATAGTTTTATTTAGTCTTTTATCACACCACCTTCATTTGCATATATCTATGAATAAAATCTATTTACATAAATCACTAATTACTATCTAAACTTAATTAGTTTTCACAATTCAAATGAACAGTCTAGATCACAATAATTATAGCTTTAGATATTCTCGCAATATTTTGACACCAATCTGAAAGTCTCTCAAACGTACCTAATCATTGTTCACATTATAAACCAATTTGTTTTCTTATCGGTGTTTTCGTCGCCGAAGACTCAGTCAAAAGATCAAGATTTATCGTATCAACCACATTCTAACTTACCGACAGATCTTATAGACTCATCCAACAGGTTGCTCTAATGGAACTCATGTTTCTTCTAAGGCGAAACGTAGTAACTAAAAATCAAATGGGAATCTTAGAATGAGCTCATATTATTGAGATCTGACGATATTGGTTGCTACTTTCCGTTCTCTTTGGAAACGCACCAATCAAATGGCGTACTCGGCACATGCATTTGGTTCTGTATTCTTGATAATGTGAGACCACTCTTATAGGAAAATCGTCTGATGAACCGAATAATGTGTGACCGTATTAAAATGAAGACCAGGTCTAGTACTTTACCGTCTGAATGGCGCATTGTCTCCTATGCCCATCTCCTTGGAAATGAGTCAATCAGATCAGGGTCGTATGAGACAAGCATCCGACTGAACCTAATAATGTGTGAACATACTAACCAGGCTGAGAAACCTAATAGGGGTTCAATTTGACATTACCATACCGATAATGCTGCGTTCTATTGGGAAATCAATTCCTACGTCCCGCCTTCTGTGAAAATACCTTAATCGAACGGCACAAGCCGTCAGATTGTTACCGGAAATGTGTAGCCAGATTAAGTCGAGTTATTATTTACTATGGTCAGTACCAAATACTAGGCTCACAAACTATTAAAGGTTCAATCTACCATAACCTTGTCGACAACGCCGTTCGATTGGGAAATTAGTTCCTACGTCCCGTCTTCTGTGAAAAACGCCAATCGAATAGCACAAGCCGTCAGATTCTTACCGGAAATATGTAGCCAGACTAAGTCGAGTTAAACCGGGTGGTTTAACTCGACTTAGTCTGGCTACACACACTAGTTACGATACTATGATTGACAGTCAATAATGATTGCAAATATTAAGGATTTAATATATTTTCTCTAACAGATATGGTATGATCTTGTTCCTATTGCTCTATTCTGCAAGCCATGACGGCACCACCGAACTCTTTCTCCAGATACTTGGCGACAGCCAAACATAGACCATCGTTGTGTGGAGCCGCAACTACTTGAATGCCGAGAGGTATACCTTGCTTATTCACGCCGATTGGTACCTGGTAAAGAATACATATTATTTCATTTATTTATTCGACGACCTCGGTGGTCTAGCGGTCTAGCACACCGCTTTACGTCCGATGGTCGCGGGTTCAATTCCTCGCACGGCACAAACATTTGTATTTTTATATTTTTTTGTATTTACGAAAAAAAAAAATTATCTATATGTATCAGTTATCTAGTACCCATAACACAAGCTTTAGCTAGCTTAACTTGGGACTAGATGGCACTGTGTGAATTGTCCTGAGATTATTATTATTATTTTATTCCAGGCAACACACACAGGAGCAGGACATTGTCGACTACAAAAGAAGCAAGGGTAATCTGACATTGAGGTGACGCAGCTGGAGTCGAGCCACAGCGCGAGTTGCAAGGCCTTTGTGGCCCGGGTCTCCACCAACATGCTGACCACCTTCATGAAGGAGGACAGCTGGCCGAAGGAGGTGGTGTGGCCAACAGAAAGTAAAGACTAAAGATTCGATTTTCTGGATGATTCCAAAAAATACTTTATCCCATACTATTACATTATGTCCTATTCTATTCCTTTCTACTCCATTCTGTTCCTTTCTATTTAATTCTCTTCCATTCTTTTCCGTTCTACTCCGTATATCCTTTATATTTACCTGTGTCGCAGGACACTTGAGTACATTGACAATGGAGAAGTACGCGCTGTTGTATTCAAATAGAAGGAGTACATGGTACGCACGCCTGCGGGGCATTTTTTTGTAATCACGCTGTCATCGCCCAACTTCGACTGTAACAAACATGACGAATTAACTTACTTTTATTTTAATACTTAGGACTATGTAATATTATGTTATCTGTGCTTAGGACTATTCACAGCGCCATCTAGTCCCAAATTAAGCAGAGCTTTACTTAATATAATATTATAAATGCGAAAATAACTCTGTCTGTTTGTCGCGGATGACATGACACAGATAGTCTAAGAATAGAAGAATAGAAATCATTTATTCAAATAAACTTACATTGAAGCACTTTTGAATAGTCATAACATTTTTTTTTTAATCTACCGCTCATTCGGAATGCTGTCTCATCACAAGAAGAAGCAAGAAACTTGTGTGTTGCTCTTTTAAATAATTTATTCTTACTTACAATTTAAGTTTAAGTGTGTGAATACAAAGTTTTTATGGAAACTCGTCATTCGTCGTCTATTACACGCGGACAAAGTCGGCGGGCAAAGCTAATAGGTACTCTTATATTTATTTTTATAAATACATACATAGGAAACAGCCCGTCCAAACAATCATAAGCATGCCGCATAGTTACAATCTTTGTATACTTACAAATAGGTCATCTTTCAGTTCTTTGGTAAGATTCTCCGCCCATTCAGCTTTGATGGTTGGTAATACTTGGCTCTCCAGCAACTGCAGTATGGTGAAGAAGCAATGCCTGCTCATGAAGCACATCTGAAAAATAATTATGTAAGAGACATTAGTTCACCTATATAATTTAGAAAATAAAAATGGGTAACGATGTGATAATATGCAGTGTTGACGCTAGATGGCGTTAGTAAAATTTTAAAAGGCGCTAAAGAAGATAAAGATTGAGATGTTTAAGTCTTAAGATGTTTTGTAATTTTAGATAGTCAAACGAAATTTTTGAATTTTGTTCCTGTCCGATCGATCCCCCGTCTAATTCAAACGGGGATCGATGTAACGACGGCCTGAGCTGAGGTTCGAACCCCTAGCGGTGCCCTCGGACTAAAGTCGTATCCGTAAGGCGGGAGTTAACCTTCCTCCATAAGTCCTTCCGCGGGTATGGAGTGTTATCTGCACTCGCCCCCTATCGTCCGGTGAAGCTGTAAAGACCAGCTGGGGCCAACAGCATTAGAGTAGTCCGATATTTTTTTTTATTTTGTTCTGTTCAATCCTGTTCTTAAAAGAATACAGCAACTAACCAACCGATACCAATAGTGTTTGTTTGTGACACAACTTAGTGTGTAATATACGTTATAAATAATAAAAATTAATTATTTTGGATTAGGAATATTTTACATAGGTACGTAAACTGTTATCGTTCCACTACAATGACATCAATGACAATTATATTTAAAAGAGACAATTAAAAATTTATGTCATAGACATTGTTTCATATATTGAATCAATCTATATTACAGCCTGGATCTAGTGTGAACACTTAGATATTCAACGCCATACGACCCTATGGCAAATTAATCTAATAACATCTAATCGAAACGGTCACTCCGTCGATTGGTAAACGAGATTTTCTTTCGTTCATGTTTACCAATCGTTTATGTGAAGAAATAGTCTATTCGACGACGACGCAATCTAGTCGAAAATTAAACTAGTTCATAGTAAATGTTCTCTGGAAAATCGTCGACGACCCACCCCTAAATGATATAAAAAGATCAGTTAGCCCAGTCATCCCCAAAGTGGACTATATCGACCCCCAGGGGTCTATGACAAACTGCAAGGGGTCTACGACAGCGGTAATTTTGTTTTTACTTTATATTTTTAATACTAAAGATTACTACAGTTAGAAATTTACAAAAAATCAATACCAGGTAAGAATGGGGGGTCTACCCAAAACCGAAAAATATGGCAAGGGGTCTACGACACAAAAAAGTTTGGGAACCTCTGAGTTACCCCATCATGATATAATTTAATAATCTAATAATAATACAATTTAATATTGAATTAACCACGGGTTAAAGTTGATTTTCATAATAATACACATACGAAATGAAAACATACCTTTTTAATAAGTTCCAGGATTGCATTGGGATGTGATTTCCCATTATTGTACATGCTGGAGTAATTGTGGGGTTCTTTGTTCATCCAGTACAACCAGAGGCGGTACATATAGTTGAACCCTTTGTGGTGGTACGGCTGAAGGTTGTTGGTGCCAACCGCTATTTCACGACCAATTTTCGCCACAACTCTAGAAGATAATTATATCAAAATCTTACAAATAATAAACGCGAAAGTTTGTGAGTATAAATGTTTGTTATACTTTCACGCGAACAGATTTTGATGAAACTTTACAAGTAATATAGCTTATACATCGAAATAACATACTCGTATAGGCTATAAATTTCCCGCGGTTTAAACCGGGCACAGCTAGTAATAATATAATATCCCTGAACAATTCAGCTACACACAAAAGGCCAAGATAATAATTATTTAATATTAATCTAAAATGTAATAATAATAATATCTCTTGACAATTCACACAGCGTCAT